AGATAGATAGATAGATAGATAGATAGATAGATAGATAGATAGATAGAAGATAGATGGATGGATGGATAGATTCTATCCCTTTCTCCCTTGGCCTCTATTTACCCCTTTTCCTTCCTCCTTCTCTCCTTCTCCTCTCTCTCTCTCTCCTCTTTCTCCCCCTCTCCCTTTCCTTCCCTCTCCCTTCTTGTCCCTCTCCCTCCCGCCTTCACCATCTCTCCCTCCCTCACTGTCCCTCCCTCTCTCTTCCTCCTCCCCCCCTCTCTCCCATCTCCTCTCTTACTCTCTTGAGGCTGCCTTGTAAGATTGTTGTGATGGCTTAAGAAAGACATGGAGAGGGGAGCTCCCATCCATTCCTTCTTGCCTTCTCCTCAGGGTGTCAGGCCTGCGGCCATCTTTTCTTGTAGATCTCAGGCCTGCCACGCTTTCTATTATTCTTCCATGCACTTTCTATTGACGGGGGATAGTACGGAGTTAGATGATATGTAGCCATAACAACATTCTTTCTAGAAAGCCAAGGTCATCTTGTGTCTCTGCACTTCTGCGCTTGACCAGAACTGGATGGGTGGAAGCTGCCAGCATGGCAGTGGGAGATTGGACCCTATGATGGACTGGTGGGTGTGGGGGCAAGAGCATGAACTTTCAACTGGGTGGGGGAAACCGGGAAGCTTTCAGATTCGGGTTTTCCCAGATGTGCCAACTTGGCTGTCTTCATAAATTGGAACTTTGAGCCATATTTTGCCTCGGACTCTGATTTACTTTTGGAGGCTATTTGGAAACCTGACATTAATAACCCAGGGCTCAACTGGCCCTTCTTCTCCGTGGCAAAACTTCAAGGGATCGGAAGGCGGCTACCGTGTCTCCCCTGAGTCTTTCCACGGTTGTTACATAACTGGTGCTGACCGCAACCGGGATGCGTAACACAAGCCTATTATTGTTGGCTTCCTCTATCCTTAGCAATGCAAGGCTTGTCCAGCGTGGTGGGAGACAGGGGAACATGATAAACAGAATCGCCCTCTTTCAGACAGTTGCCTTGTCCGTGAAATCAATTTAGTTTTCCAATGTTTTCTTGACACTGAGCAACATCTGGCCGGAATCTGTGGGTTTTTTCCTTCTTCTAAGGCCTTCTCTCTCTCTCTTTGACCTCCCTGTAGCCCAGATGTGATGCTGCAGCTCCTGGCAGTGTTAAGTGACTCCTGGAGTTGCCATCCCTTGTCTTGGAGGCTTCCTGGAGGAGACAAAAGGACTGTCAGGCTTTATTGTTCATTTTTTTGGGGGGGGAAGGAAGGCAGGGCACTGGAGCAGCAGGCGAAGGGAGCCAGAAAGAAACTGTCAGTGGGTCAGCAAATGTCAGGGTGGACGATTTCCACAGTTTCTTAACGTTTGGCAGAGAACACTTTCGCTCGGTTGTAGAGAAAGGAAGGGTTTAGCCGAAGTGTAACCTCATTCTCCCTTTTCTTCTGTTACGAGAGGAAATGAGTAACTTCCACCGCCTTGAATAAGTTACCCACGTATAATGTTCAGGTAATGGAAGCTTCTCAGTGATGCAGTGTTTCTCCCTTTCTCCTTCTCTGCTCTCTCTCCTCTTCCTCGTCTTTCCCCCATCCTCTCTTTCTCCTCCTCCCCTCTTTCCCATTCTTTTCCCCTTTCCTCCTCCTCCTCTCCTCCTCCCTCTCCTCCTCCTCCTCTTCTTCTTGTTCTTCTTTTCTCCTTCTTCTCCTCTTTCAACTCTTCTTGTTCTTCTTCCTCCTCCTCTCCTTCTCCTCCTCCTCTTCTTCTTGTTCTTCTTGTTCTTCTCTTCTCCTTCTTCTTGTCCTCTTCCAACTCTTCTTGTTCTTCTTCCTCCTCCGCTCCTTCTCCTCCTCCTCTTCTTCTTGTTCTTGTTCTTCTCTTCTTCTTCTTCTCTTCCAACTCTCCTTGTTCTTCTTCATCCTCCGCCTCTCCTTCTCCTCCTCCTCTTCTTCTTGTTCTTCTCTTCTCCTTCTTCTTCTCCTCTTCCAACTCTTCTTGTTCTTCTTCCTCCTCTCCTCCTCCTCCACCTCTTCTTCTTGTTCTTGTTCTTATCTTCTTCTTCTCTTCCAACTCTCCTTGTTCTTCTTCATCCTCCACCTCTCCTTCTCCTCCTCTTCTTCTTGTTCTCTTCTTCTTCTTCTTCTTCTTCTTCTTCTCTTCCAACTCTTCTTGTTCTTCTTCATCCTCCTCCTCCTCTCCTTCTCCTCCTCCTCCTCTTCTTGTTCTTCTTGTTCTTCTCTTCTCCTTCTTCTTCTCTTCTTCCAACTCTTCTTGTTCTTCTTCTTCCTCCTCCTCTTCCTCTCCTCCCTCCTCCTCTTCTCCTTCTTCTTCTTGTTCTTCCTCCTCCTCTTCCTCTCCTTCTCCCCCTTCTTCTCCTTTTTCTTCTCCTCCTCCTCCTCCTCTTCCTCCTCCTGCTGGATCACTTAATAATGATGGCAAGAAAGTTCATAAAATGGGGTAAAACTCACAACAAAAATTTCGCTCAGCAATGGATTTTTTGGTACAATTGTCATAAATTGAGGACTACCTGTATGGTTGCCAGGTTTGGGTCGTGTCTGTGTGTGTGTTTGTGTGTGTGTGTGTGTGTATGAGAGAGAGAGAGAGGGAGGGGGGGAGGAGGGAGGGAGAGAGAGAGAGAGAGAGAGAGAGTATATGAAAACGCTGTTAGTGTGAGAATGCTCTTAGTTTCCTAGAGTTGTGAGATTATTATTTTTTTTAAAATAAAATTCCATTTCTTACACAAGCAGAATTTTTGATCATCATTCCTTTGATTTTTCCCTTTTGATTTCACGGTTCCAGATTTTGGTTTTTTACATATTTTCTACTTTTTTTCCTCCCCTTTCCTAAGATTTGAAGATCTTGTGACAGAAATTTCCAAGGGTTTTGTGGTCCTGCCTTTAAACCCGCTGAGTCTTTGAGTTGGTTGACCGAAAGGATGGGATCCGCTTGGAAGAGATGGGTCTTCGCTGTGGTGCTGCTTCCCCTGGTAAGCCATTTTAACGATGTTACACTCGTTGTATTAAATGATTTCAAAAGTGGCATTCTGTACAAATAGATTGCGGCACATGGTTTATAATCACACAGTTGGTAAGCAGGCAGACGACAAGGGGACTAAAGCATACAATGAATGTTGAGGGAACTGGGGATGTCTAGTTTAATGAAAAGAAGGACCAGGGGAGACAGGAGAGCAGTCTTCCAATATCTCAGGGGTTGCCACAAAGAAGAGGGAGTCAAACTATTCTCCAAGGCA